CCGTACCCTACGGATAACCGGTCCATCCATGGACCCAGACCGACTGCGGATACTAGGGGACTGTTTGTCCGATGAGGCCGCGGTATGGATGTACAACACAGTACAATCCCCCTCCCGGGAACGGCGAGACTGGCTGTTCGAAGAGGCTGTAATTGGCCTCTTCCGGCGATTCATACACCGGGACACGCACCTGCAAGCTGCGTACAATTACGACAACCTTCGCTTCGAAGCGAATAAGGGCGGCGTTGCAGCTCTGTATGAACGACTGCTCTCCATAACGGAGAAAATGTGGGAGAAACCCACTCAGTTCCAATTACGGAACAAGTTCCTCGACGTGCTGCCGATGAGTTATGTTCATACGCTCACTGTAGTTAACGGCCTCTCCGTTAAATATAATAGTTTGGCCGCGCTATACCAGGCGGCGCTCGAGCTCGAGCAAAGTTCGCGTGAACTTCATCAACGCCGTCGCCCACGCGACAACGCAACTAGCGTTAACCCTGTCGTGGCCCCTACCGATCACCGTGTCGCAAAAGCGGCCCCCAGCGGACAGAGGAAGTCCGTCCACACGGACCCCGCGCCTCGGACAACATCGTCCAACATTCGACAAGCCGCCCCTGTTCGTACAGGTGCTCCTCGGCCGGATCGACCGCGTCCCACCGCTGGCCAGCCGCTTAGGCCCGCCGTGAAGCCGGCCGCCAATAAAGCGGCCTCTCAATGTTTCTCCTGCGGCCAAGTAGGCCACTTTGCCTCGGATCCCACCTGCCCAAATCACGGCAAGAAGCAGGGACAGGGCCAGCGCATGTTCGCGCAACGCGTCTTGGACGATACGTCGGATGGCGAGCACGCAACTACGCCCAACGACAATACTCAGGTCAATAGTGACCACGAAGCGTTGGGAGAGGTACCCGGACCGGACCAAGAGGTCCAAGAAGGGACAGAAGTAGTCCAGGACCTGCCACAGTCCGACTATGAGTTTGTGGGCTCGCAGTATGAGTCCGAGGACGAAGTAGTCCAGACCGAGTGGGAGGACTTCGAGTACGAGTACGATCCTGTCGCATACATGGCGAGCATGCGCGTGGAGCCTATGGACTCCGGAGGAGCGGTAATGGGACCGCGAATTCACAGCATGGCTGTGGCCAATGAGCGAGGCATGCGTCATGCATGGCTATACGACGCGAAGGTTCGTAAGATAGAGGACCCGGCAGCGCAGCCACGACGGGCACATGAAGCCCAACGCACATTATGTGCTGAGATACCTATCAACGGTATCAAAGCTCTGGTATTATTCGATTCGGGGTGCACCACCGATTCGATTACCCCAGAATTCGCGTACTTGTGCCAAGCAAGCAGAATCGATCTGCATGAGCCCGTAGGACTCCAGCTGGGAACTAAAGGGAGCCGCACCAAAATCAATTTTGGTGCGCAGGCGGAAATCGCCTTGGGCGCAGTGCGCAACGTCCACTACTTCGACGTTGTCGACATCGACAAGTACGATGCAATACTGGGCACAGTATTTTGTCGTACGTACGGTATCGTACTAGACTTTGCGAACGACCGCGTTCTGATCGGGAAACAGAGCATTCCGCTCTTCAGGGAGGAAGCCTCCCCGGCCAAGATCGTGAAGCGATCCATGAAGGAACCCATTAAATGGGTCCTCGAGAACGGACAAACTGTCCATTAGGGGAGCATGGCGGCCTCCACGAAAGTGGAACCTCCCCAGTCACGCTATGCAAGACCACAGGGGTCATCGGAAGGGGGAGGGGACGGCAATGTAGCCGTAGGAAATTCCGGTTCG